TAGGGTTTCGATTCGATTTAAGTTTCTTTCAACAATACGATTTAGGTTTTGAATCAATAACTCTCCTAAGAACAAGCGAGCAAAGCAAGCAATAGCAAATACTTTGATTCAAACAATATCCGATTTTTAGGGTTGCGATTTCTTTAGGTTCAAGTTCGATGTTGGTCTTTAGGTTTTAGGGTTTCGGATTTTACCTTTCACCTTATGGGGTTGTACGGACTAGAACCGGGAGCTAAAGACCTCGGTAACTCACGCTGCTGCAACGAACCGCAAACAGTGTCGACGATGAACAGTGTCGACGATGAACAGTACCGTGATGAACAGTACCGTGATGAACAGTACCGCGATCGGATCTGATGATGTGCGGTTTTTAGGGTTTTAGCGATTTTTAGGGTTAGGGCTTTTTTGAAGGTGGTTTTATTTCTCTAGAGCAAACTCGTGCTGATAACGTGTTATGAATCTCGTGTATTCTTATTGATTAATGAATGAGGTTACAACTTATATATATACACAATAGGGGAGACAAATCCCAATTGGACTAGGAAACACTAAAGCCCACTAAGACTAACATAAACCGTCTTTGGCCTTAGTCGGTTGGACGAGTCTTCTAGATCCTAGACATGGGCCTTCTAGAACATGGACATGGGTCACGGTTATGGAGTCCATCCGTTATGTGGTTTTCAACACAAATATATTAATGTATAACGTAACATAATTATATTGATATTAATAGTTAGGAAATATATAAGAGAATATATCGCGATACATCAACATCAAACACGAAATATATTTCGTGACAATATCTCTTCCTTTCTTAAATATAGGGTGGCTCGGCTTCTTCTCTAGTGCGGCGATCTCGACAATTCTCTCTTTTTTTGGCCCTCGGGCGGTATAATTTTTCAACTTGGAAATGGAACACGATCTCGACAGCTTCATCTCCTTTACCCAAATTGAATTTAGTTATCCGAATTTTCGATCAAGTTCTATTACCTGAAATTCATGTTCCATATTTTATTAGGGAATAGATCATATAGTGGTTTTTATTATCCAAATTACACGTTTCAATCACATACCCGTTATTTTCCGTCATAATACCCTAATATTAAATCCTCATATTTTTTTTAAAGAGCCAATTGAGAATCATTGAAACGTAAAGAAGATCTCAGTGGATCGTTTATGGATTTTAAAGAGTTGGATGATATTATAAATGAAACTAGACCTTATAGTTAAAAAATTCAAGTAACAATATGTATAATGTACTTAGTTAGACTAGAGTGATTTGTGCACCATGAAAAATTCATCTACCAATAGTTTTTAAAATTAACTTTTAAATCCCACTATTTAAAAAAACACAAAAAAAAAAACAAAAATCCATTAACCAATAACTCGAAAAAAAACCTGAGCATAATAGTATACTTTTCTCTTAGTCATAATTACACTGCACTTGCTATTTTTCATTTGATAAATTAATTTTTTTGAAAAACTCGTTAGACTAAACATACATAGATAAAAAAAAAATTATGTTTATAAAATTGTTATAAATTTAATTTTCTTAAAAAACATTGTAATTCACTATATTATAATCTTTGGATTTTAATTAAAAAAAATTGTTAATATATATATTAACAAAGTGTCAACAAGTGTCGGCCTTGAGTTATAATAGGCTGCAAACAAGAAAATAAATAGTCCCTCTGTTCGTTTATAAGTGATGTTTTAAGCTTCTAATTTTGTTCTTAAACTAGGATATGACCCGCGGTACACCGCGGGTTAATTATTTGATTTTTATCTTTTTATAAATTGATGAATTTGTTGTGTATAATATTTTTTGTTGTACATCGCGGGTCATACGCGTTGTATCTAAAAAATAAAAAATTTAAGTTGTATTTGTTTTGTTTAGTGTTTAAGATTGTATAATTGCATTTTGATTTGTTAATTCTAGAATTTCACCCGTGGTATATTGTCCCGTATTAATATCGACCCATATCCGTCCCACCATATAATCCCGTCTTGTGGAATTAAACATCATTTTGTTATTTATTTAATAACACTTTTATTTTAAAAAACATATAATTCGAGTCAATTTAAAAGTTTGCTTTCAAATGGTTTTCATTATATATATATTTTTAAATTAGTGTGTGTTTTTTTACCAACCCGTAAAAATAATTTATAATTGTATCTTAAAATACTAAATACTTCTATTTTGATTTGTTAATTTTAGGATTTCACCCGTAGTATACTGTCCCGTTTCAGATAATTGTAGCAATTAAGGAAAGATCTGAATGACTCAATTTGGGGTTAGAATAAAAAAAAAATGACCTAATTAAATGCGCAATTAGTTCTCCAAAAATGTTAATATAGATTACACACATATTTTTTTCTTCATCGATTGAGTAATATATGTTCGTTTAAAAAAATTTGAATCATAACATATATAGGAAAAAAAACTAAAAATTATTAACAATATATATTTTATAATATTTCAAAATAATATAAATATAAGATCAAATAAAAGTAAAATGAGAATTATATATTTATGTTTAAATTAGGTAGAGAGGTTTTAGGAAATTAGTTTAAATTTCTTATATTAGCATTAAATCATCATATTTGATTTCCTTATCTATAAATAATCGTAAAAAATATACCATAATTAAAGAGTCTAGATATAGTAATTAGTTGAGAATATATATATATATTTTAGATTTATTAATTAATTTTGTGTTTGAATTTTTCCAAAATTTAAGGAAATATCCGATTGAAGATTTCCGGGTCAAAATCAGAAAAAAAAAACCCGACCCGATTGGAAGGAGCAAATTTGTACTTTGAATATGTTAAGTAGATAGATGATGTTTTTAATTTTCGATGCAAAATTAATTACTTTTTTATTGTTTTAACGATTTATATTATGTAGAATTTTTTTATTGGTTGATTAGATAATAAATAAAGTTTTAGTTTAGAAAAAAACAAAAAAGAGGAAGGGTCTGAACCTCTAACCCTTCAACGCCTCAATTAAGAAAGTTACCAATTCCAATGATGTTTGATGTTACAAGTATGGGCCTGGTCCGCTTGTACCTAACGCTAGCTCTGAGCAAAATTACTACAACATATTCGCACGTATATTCAAAATTCCAAACCTAGTCTTTTGTAAAGCAAATGTCGAGTTTTAAAGTTTGATATAGTGTTAACACCTAACGGAGAGAAAAAAAACTAAGAAGATTTCTCATTCTCATTTATATAGAGTATATTAAAGATACAATCATACTATGCAATGTCGTAGCACCAATACTTGTCATGTTAAAATATACAATGTCGTTTTTGAGTATTTACACTTTTGATATTCACTGATTCACATAAATGTCATCATAAACCATTGTCTCATGTATGTACTAAAGAGTGCAAAGAAAAACGAGAATTTACTGATTCGACTCGCAGGAGGCCCAAAAAGAGGCCGAGACAAGACGCCGAGATTTCCATCCCAAAACAAGTCCGTTTTGGCCCAATTCTTCCACTATATACCCATCATTAAACAAGCTCAAAAGGAGCTTTGCTTGACAACGGTTGGCAAAGCTCACTTCCATTGGTTTGAACCCATTACTCTCTAACCACTGTGGCCACGAAGCAAAGCTCTCGACTTCTACATCATCAGCGATGATACGCGTCAACCAATTAGCAACCCACGGACCGATAAAAACACGCTCAACAAAGCCACGGGCCGGGTTAGCGATTGAAAGGCCTGCCTCTAGAGAGTCGAATATGGCTGAGAACTGATGTAGCAAGTCCATAAAACGATATAGGAAACCTTGGTTCCCCATCAGACCAACTTCCTCGTGAACAAGCGTGACAATTTTTGGGTTTAGAGTTTTAGCTTCTGATAGAAAGGAAATGACAGAATTGGGTGTTTGGTTGCTAAACCGAGGAAGATGCAACATACAATTGATTACCACTGCTTCTCCTCTTACAAGTTTCAAAGATGATGTGCTAAATGCATTGGTGTCGAGTTTACAGTGGTGATATGAAAATGGCTGGCCGATAGACTCGGCAAACGCAGTTAGACGCCGCCCAGTTTCTTGAACTGCAGCAATGGATTTTTTACCGTTGGTGGCTCGTGACAAAGCCGTGATCCTAAGATGTTGGGCTGATGGGCCTGTATTTTTAGACACCAAGGCTTGCATCAATGAAGCCCACTGAACGCCTTCAGTTATATCGTAGTCCACGATATGGATTCGACGCTCATACTTCACAGCTTCTAGAATAGCTTGTGTGGCCGTAAGGTAACCAAAGTTGACGTACGGAGACATGTTCTGTAGCAGTTCGAACGCCGAGATCACATCCGCCTGATCATAAACATCATCACGATGTTGTTGGGGACGCAGAACATTATCTCGTTCGAGCAACTTTGAAAGCCCATTGGTGAAGTGCGCAGCTAATCTCTCCATGTTAGTTCGGTCACCAGGAGAAACCAAGTCCTTAAGCCTTGCAAGTATAACTCGAGTTAACTCCCGCGACTTGTTTGCACCAGTTGACGCCTCCGCAGCAGCCACCAGTAAGTGAACCAACCTCAAGCCCTTTGATTCATCAGTCTTAGGCTCCTCTACACTAACCTCATCAGCCAGGGATAAACTTGTGGACGCAGAGTTACAAAGTCCCTCCTGGCCATGAAGCATTGGAACAGATTCCGATTCCGGTTCCATCATGGCTCCTTCATCACCCATAATGGATTCAATGACATCGCGGAAGTCACAGTCCCAATCAATGTCAAGATCATTCAAGCTATAACCACAAGAGGAGGTGCTTGCAGCCGTGGCAAGCGTGTCAGTGTTGGTAGAGAAGAAGAGGTCCAAGAAGTCCTCGTAAGGATAATTCATGGTCATGCAGGTAAAAATGAAGAAACGGGCAATGCAGAATTATATAGATAGTGTAGTAGGACCCAAAAGAATAAGAGTTCCATATTGTTTAGGTAAATATTTGAAGTCAAATCTAAAGTATATGGTCCCCTTTCAGGGAGGTCGAACAACCTGTGGTCCTTGTAAGAAGCAGCAGGACCACTGTGATCATGAAAATAAACAAACAAAAACAAGTGAGAATTGTTAGTCAAACAAATGTTTATATGTACCAATATGATCAACAGGGAAATTAAAACAAAACAAGTGAGAATTGTCAGACCAATCATACTAATCAACCTCCAATATAACCTAACTAGTGACAGTTTAAAATAAAATATAAGTGCACGGACTATAAATTTCATATGAAAATACATATAGATATAGCCAGATTTGCTGAGCAGAGAAAACATAAGTGCCAAACAGAAAAAGACAAGACATTATTGAGATTTTATTTACATCTAATCAAATCATTCAAGAGACAGCACACCAAGAAAATTAATTAAGATATTAACTCCGAATCGTCCTCACAATCTCTTGACCACTTTGATTAGGCTTAACAATTGTGGACTTAGCAAACACCAGAACTTATCTCCCTCACCTCTATGACAGGAAGTTGGAACAAGTCACTAGTGACACAAGCAGTGACGCAAATTTATTAGTTTACAAGTTTTGTTCTAGCTACAATCTAATTTCACATAAATATATAACCAGACCTTGTCATATTTTTAGAACCAAATCCTAAACTCTCCAATAGTCAAATTGAATAAATGCTAGCTCTTCTATAAATGTCAGAAGATTATACATATTTCTATCCTTAAAATCATTTAATAAGATATGAAGGTGCTTCAGGATACATCTAGACTCATTTAACAAAGTCATAAGCCCATTTTTGAGGACTTAAAAGAACCCAATAGGTTGGTTTGTACCTTGGTAAAGCATTAATTGATATTGTTATATGTCCTAACTGTTTACGCAGAGGGTAATCCTTTCTGGTTAACCGTGGCGTGAACCGTTCTGGCAGCTGCCACTGCAGAGTCTCCTCGTTTCACTATTTTCTCGAGTTCTTCCACCTTCTCTGACAACAATCTAGCATTTGTGGTTGTGGCATGGACCAACTTGTTAGCAGTTTCTAGGGAAGTGCAGAGCTGAAATTGAAGAAGGAGCAAGTAAAAACAATATTTTAAGTATATCTCTCTTGACAAGCCACGGAACATTTCATTTGCATTTCCCGATTCTAAGAAAAACATATCTAGAGAATCTCATATTATATATATCTTGAGATATTGGCATCACCAATCATTTAGTCATTTCGTACCAACGTGAAAGACACCATTAAAAGGAACAGAAGAAAACAAAAAAAATTCTATATCAAACTCTTTCCATACCAACCATGTCCTCTTATTGAAATTTCACAGAGTATTTGTAAAATCCATAGCATGGAAAGACCCTGATAGATAAAAAATAACAAGATATAGTTGTCAAATCGAAAAGCTTTCAAATTACCTCCAATGTTAGGGAGGTCCATGAGTGATCAGAACCAGCAAACGCATCGTTAAGTTTATCATAGTTTTCCTGAAACAAATCAACAATTTTTTATATAATCGCCGCATAAAAGAGTCTTACAAATACTAAGTAAGAAATTACATCCAAATAGTATGCAAATGACAGAAACAATGCTAATAAGAACAACAACAACAAAAAAGTCGGTCCAAGAATGCATCACTTAGATGGGGACTATCGAATATTTACAGTATAGCTCTTTACAAATGTTTCGACATTCGTTTATTGAGATCCAATAAACAAAGTTTTCATATTCAGCTGTTCTAGATACTTGAAAGAGATTTTCCAAGTCAAACCGAACAAAGTGTAGGAAAATTCAAAATCAAACAGAATAATGCGTAAAATTTGGACTAACAATGAAACAATGTAGTGATATAAAATGCATAACTCAGTAGAGATTTCAAATAATTGGTAAACTTTCAAGAAAGCATCACTCAACATTCACAAGAATATTTCATCATTCCTCTAATGAAAGCCGATACACACAGCTTTCAAATCCACCTTGATTCAGACTCATAGCGTTCCAAATAACCGCTTACTATGATAGAAAACTCCAAATTAAACACAATGATGCATAAAATTTGAACAAACAACGTATCAATACATTGATATAAAATTTTATAACACAACGAAGATTTCGAATAATTGCACAATTCACTATAATGAATGAACAATGATAGAGATTCATGGCACCGAACCGATCAAAAACCATTGAATCAATGAAACTAAAGGCAAATTTTGGATCAGAAGAGTGACCTGAAAGAGTCGGGTTAGATCCAACGGTCCAGAGATGGTATCATCAGAGTCTGATTTTGAAGGAATTTCTGGATTTGGATTGTTTTCCGGTGAGTCGCCAGTTTCTTCACCGAGATCGGCGAGAAGATCTCCGATTGACAGCAACGGACCTCCGACTCCTCTCATCGCTCTCCCAAATCTCTTTGAAATTGAGAAAAATCTCACCAATTTTGTAGTTTGTACTTTAATGGGCTTTTACAAAAATGTTGGGTTAATGGGCCTGTCACGTGTCCATGAACAATGTTCTCCAACTAAGTTAAAGATGGTGATGTTTTGTGTGATCATTAATATTGTTTTTTTTTTCTTTCCTTTTATAAAGTTTATTTTTAACTTGATTTTGTGATCATTATATTTTTTTTTATTTTTTGTATAGTTATGAACCAACTCAAAACTCGAAAATTAAAATCCTGAAAGTAAGGATTCTTATAAATTATGTTAACAACAAAAATTGAAAATTAGATATGTGTTTTCCCGAAAGTTTTTTTTCTTAAACAAATACTCTTAAAATATCACACCAAGTAAGCGCAATAATCTAGATGTTACTCCACACAACGAATGAATTGTTGCATAATATTTTAATTATATTTTTGAAGAAGATAATATATTGATCGTCTATTATTGCATATTGTATAATTTTAAAATTTTAAATATCCACAGTGTGTGGGTTTACACAAAAAAAGTAAAATAGATTTCATTTTTAAAATTCATAATAATTTAATTTTATGAGAATAAAAATCTTTTACCAAGAAAAAAAAAAATATTATATATTATATCATCCCTTAAAAATGTAAATTGTTTTGTATGTGATTTACCAGCTTCTAGTGTCTCTCCATCAATAATAAACCCGTAAAAGTAAATATCAATTCAAAAAAGTTTTGGCAATTACATTACGGATTTACCGTGAATTTTTGTTGTCTACGTTGTCCATTAAATTTCATGATTCTCCTCTATTGTTCTACTAAAACTTTCCTCCTTTTTCGCCACCAAATGCACAAAGATATATATACTATTTGTTATCTTAACTTAATTGTGATCATTGGTTATCATCTATACAAAACGTTATTTTTCTTTTGGCGTACAAAAAAAAGAATATAATTTTCTTTCACATTAAAAAAAGAAGAATTTGAAATGGCTTTCTTTCGGCATTGACATATTCAATGATGTAAGAACTTGGAAGCACCACATAATTCTTTAAATATCTTGGTGGTAAGGATATCTATATATCATCAGAAAAGATAAGAAAGAGGTTGTCTCATCTTTTTGACGAATAACAACTTCACGAAGTGCTTGATTTTCGGTCCATGGCATTGGGAAGAATGTAAAGAGAGTAAAAGTCATGTACATATGAAATCGATATTGATGATGATTTAGAATTTTCGAGTTGATATTGTAGTTTTTTTTTCGCCAAGTTGAAATTATAGTTAAAATTTAGAAAACCAAGAAAAAAATCTTAATTATTGAGATTTTTATTGGCTGTAAGGCCCCTAAGCCCATGTAATTTGTGTAAGACCAATTAGGTCATCTCTGTATTCTTATATAAGACACTGCCTCCTAAACGTGAATAATAAGAAAGCATACTTTACAACCTCAATTGCTTCTTGACAATTTTCGTTAAGTATCATATCGGAAAATGCAGCGATTTGTTTTACTTGTGGAATATCCAGCTATTTGTTTTTTTTACTATCGTCTTACTCATGTTTGTTCAAAGTTTGTACTTGGTCTTTATTCAATTTCTAAATTTTTTAAAAAATATGGGTACATAAATACCAATTTAGTCTTGGTTTGTTTGTATATTTGCATATCATTCACTTTTGCATCACTTGTTGTTTTGCATTTAAATTTAAATTTGGGGAAAAATCCAAAAAAAACCTCATTATTTTTTATTTGGACGTTCAATACCTAATAGTTTTTGATTGGAAGAAAAATACAAATGTTAATTAAACAGTGCAATTTAATACCCAAACAATTCAATTTTGTTATTTTCATATTCACGATCTCACAACAAAAATAAATTTCTAATTTTACTCTTACTATCTCAATTAGTTATTAATTACCCAAACAATTCAATGTTGTTATTTTCATATTCACGATCTCACAACAAAAATAAATTTCTAATTTTACTCTTACTATCTCAATTAGTTATTAATTATAAGATGATGTGGCATTATTTTATTTAAATAAATATAAAATAATTTTTTATTAATATTTAGTTTTTATGTTGCCAAAAATTAAATATTTCGTTTTTATTATAAATACTAGGACTCCGGACCCCCGCGATGTCGCGGGGGAAAATATTTCAAAAATTGTTTTTAAAAATATCAAACAAAAATTAATAATAACGATGGTAGATGATTAAATGTTATAACGATTTATAAAATAAACTTAAAGTTTCAATTTTTCGTGAATAAACTAAATGTTGCAATGGTTCAACTAAACGGTTGCAACCATTTTATGAAAAGTTACGATAAAAAGATGCAACCGTAAAAATTATTTATTCGAATTGCAACTTTCTTAAAATACATAACGTAAAATAATTTTTTTACTTTAAAAAAATAAATGAAATGTTGCGATATATCAAAAGTTGCAACGGTTCGTCAAGTTTGTCAAATAAACTAAAGATTACAACGGTTCGTAAAATAAAACCAAAAGTTGCAATGATTTGTCAGATAAACCAAATGTTTCAATGGTTCAATTAAACGATTACAATCTCATTTAAATAAATTTTGGTAATTAAAAATATTAATTTATGAAAAGTTATACCGTGAGACTCGACGGTAGATAATTAGATGTTATAGCAATTTACAAAATAAACCAAAGGTTGCAATTGTTCGTGAAATAAACTAAATATATAAATCAAAGGTTGCAATCGTTCGTGAAATAAACTAAATATATAAATCAAAGCTTGCAATTGTCTACCAAAAATAACTATTATGTAAATAACATGACCGTACAAAAATAACTGTAAGAAAAGCAACTATAAATATTTAAACGAAAGGTTGCAATAAAAAGACACAACCATTCAGATATGTAAATGGTATTTATTGGAAACGACATAACCGTAAAAAAATAACTGATTAAAACGAAAATTGCGATAAAAAGACGCAACCAAAATAACCATAAAAAAATAACCGTAAAAAATAACCGATTTAAACGAAAGGTAGCGATTAAAAGACGCAACCGTTCAGATGTGCAAATGGTATTTATTAGATTGCTATTATATATAGATTTTATTTTTAAAATTTAACATAAAAATTAGCAGAAAATATCAAAAAATATTTAAAATAGTCATTTCTACAATTTTTTTTCCGTCGTCGCAACGTCAAAGAGACGTCCTCTCTCGGGACTCAATCTCCGATTATAGAATTCTTTGATTAATCTCTACGAGAATCGCATGTAAAAAATCTCCGTCGTCCATTTTAGCCAACATCAAATTCGATAACCATTAACGATCTCCTCAATCCGAATTCATCGTCTTTCTCAAGATTCATCAATTCATCCAAATGGCTAAATTTCATTTTTATACTAGGATATGACCCGCGGTAAACCGCGGGTTAATTATTTGATTTTTTTATTTTTTTATAAATTGATAAATTTGTTGTGTATAATATTTTTTGTTGTACACCGCGGGTCACATGCGTTGTATCTAAAAAATAAAAATTTTAAGTTCTATTTGTTTTGTTTAGTGTTTAAGATTGTATAATTGTATTTTGATTTGGTAATTCTGAGATTTTACCTGTGGTATATTTTCCCTTATTAAAATCGACTCAAACCTGTCCCACCATATAATCCCGTCATGTGAAATTAAACATCATTTTGTTATTTTTTTAATAACACTTTTATTTAAAAGACATATAATTCGAGTTAATTTAAAATTTTGCTTTTAAATAGTTTCCATAATATATATATTTTTATATTAGTGTGTGTTTTTTGACCAACCCGTAAAAACAATTTATAATTGTATCTTAAATACTAAATAATTGTATTTTGATTTGTTAATTTTAGGATTTCACCTGTGGTATACTTTTCTGTTTTAGATAATCTATACTAGTATTTTTGCAGTCATTTTTGAGTTGGGTGGGTAAAATTGTTCTCGGATATTTTGGATATCCGACCCGTTTACAAATTTTGGTCATAAAAATTTTGTTGGGTCAGGTTATATTTAACTCAACTCATACATCGGATATTTAATAATTTAGATATTTAGAAGATCTGATTAATATTTAGAATTATGATTCTCCTATTATCTTTGTTATATTTGTTTTTAACTGTTTTGAATCATCATATAATACATAAAGTAAAAAAAAAATCAATTTTTTTTTCTGCATATACTGTGATTCGAAAATTTAAAAACGGACATATATTATCCACTTAATGAAAATGTGTGTTCAACGTTTTACATCGATTAAAATATTTAGACAATGATTCAGAATCATATCATAAATAAGATCAACATTAATAAAATAAATGAGTTTTTTGGGGGGACGGGTTTGGCGGGACGGGTTTTGAATCAACAATAATAAAAAGTTTAAAATATCATAAATCCGCCGCTTCAATACGGATTAAATCCTTAACTTTTTTTTAATACCACATATTAAATCAGTCTCATTTAGAAAAGATTGTATAAAACCAAAAATTGTCCCGTGGTATAATGTTACTTAATAACAATTGTAAACTATAAAATATAAATATATTATAAAATGATACAATTTGCAAACTTTTATATATAATAAATAATCGTTAAATTTTAAAAATTACTACTTTTAGAAAACAAATCACGGGACGGGTTAAGAAGTTACAGGACGGGTTATATTTCGGAACAAAGTTATATGGTAGACGAGTTTGAATCAATATTTATAAAATTTTAAAATATCATTAACATGCCGCTTTAATACAGATTAAATCTTCAGTTTATTAAAATATAAATGTCTTAGAGAATGATATGATTTGTAAACTTTTATATATAAAAAATAATCATTAAATTTTAAAATAAAAACAAATCATGGGACGGGTTAAGAAATTACGTAAAGGGTTATATTTCGGAACGGATTTATATGGCGGACGAATTTGAATCAATATTTATAAATAGTTAATACCGCTTTAATATGGGTTAAATCCTCAGTTTATTAACAATTGTCTCGTGGACTCGTGGTGTACCGTTACTTAATAACAATTGTAAACTA